CAATGATGAAATATCATGGTTATATCCATTCCTATATCACCAATTTCTGCTCAGATAAATTGGAAAATGTGGCTCTAAAATGTCCTGAAAATGTATGAATTGGGTCAATGCACATATAAGAACACAAATATGCAAACAATTCATTTCGGATTGATTTCTTACTTCTTGAGAGGTAAAATCAATTAAATTCAAGTAAAATTTACTTTAGGTAAGCTAAGATGATGGAAAATTAAAAATGAGGATACTTTCAAGATACATCAACTACCGATGAAATAAACATAGCTAAATAAAATCTAAACTTCAAAGAGCTGAAATCATTTTGCAGTTAAAAATCTGCGAAAGTAGTTTACCTTTATTATAGCACCTTCTGAAGTCAGAAGGATTAAAAGAATATCAATGTGACCAGCTTCCAGGGTTCATTTAATAAATGTTATAAATATACCGTTATTTAAGGATACAAATAACAAAATGAACTTATGTAGTAAAATCAACAATCATAAACATCTTGTGTGAGTTTAGTTTCTTTGCCAAAACAATGCTATTTCCTCTTCAATCTTAAATGCTTCTTTCTTTTGTGGGCAGAGTTCTGAATCTAACTTAATAACATCCACAGAGTTCTTTATTTACTGTGTTTGTCCTGCAGCACCAGCAGGAATCCTCAAATATAGCTTATTGAATTATTTCTAATTTTAAAGCAAATTTTATCAGCAGTATAGTATGTGCCAAACTCAATTTATGTCATTGAAATGCCTTTGAGAACATTAATAGTTATGATAGAAAAGAGGTAATGTCTCTATGTACCCCTGAAAGATTATTACTTGGGTATGTCAAGAAACTCCCCCCTTTGTTTTGTTTTGTTTTAGTTTTTTGGGGACAGAGTCTCACTCTGTTGCCCTGGGTAGAGTGTCATGGCATCATAGCTCACAGTAACCTTAAACTCTCAGGCTAGAGTAATTCTCTTGCCTCAGCCTCCCAAGCAGCTGTGACTACAGGTGTCCTCCACAACACCCAGTTAGTTGAGATAGGGTCTCCTTCTTGTTCAGGCTGGTCCAAACTCCTGAGTTCAAGCAATTCACCCACCTTGGCCTCTCAAAGTGCTGGGATTACAGGTGTGAGCCACCACGTCTGACCTAAAAAACTCCCTTTTTATAGAAAGTAGATTATATCAGATTCCTTCAGGAGAATACTTTCCTGCATTGCTCTCTTTTGCTTTATTTTGATTCACTAGAGTAGAATCAACTTTGCCTTTATAAACATGTTTTCACAAAGAATCATTACATTTTAAATTTTTTATTATGGAAAAATACAATATACACAGAGTACACAGAATAAACCTCTGCATACATTACTCAGCTTCACAATATTCTCTTATTATTTCGTCTATACCTCTTCCCCTATTCTCTGCCTCCCACTCAATGAATACTTTTGTATATTTACTTTCGTGAGGTAGTGTTTACATAAATTGAAATGCACCAATCTTGGCAGCGCCCATAGCTCTGTGGGTAGGGCACTGGCCACATACACTGGGGCTGGTGGGTACAAATCCAACCCCAGCCTACTAAACAACAATGGCAACAACAACAACAAAGAAATGCACCAATCTTAACTGTACCATTTTAACAAATGGAGTCATCTGTGTAACTAACTCACCTCTTTCAAGATATAGAACATTTCCATTATTCACTGGGATTTTAATAATATTTTGCAGCTTAGTTTTAGTAATTGGGTGGTAAAACTTCTGTCTCTTTTGGACATAACATGGAAAGATAGACAACATAGAAAAGCACCATGCCCCATACTCTTCGTGTATGCTAAAGTGAAGTGGTCGGCATTTTTAAATCATAGCTAAACTGGATTATAACTAATGAGCTAAAGTAGAAGTTTACATGATAAACATACATTGTAAAGTATATTAAACTTAATTTTATTTGGTTAGCTTGTAATTACAGATTGGTAATCCCTAATCTTAAATACTTGGGACCAAAAGTGTTTTAGATTTTGAATATTTTTTAGATTTTGGAATATTTGCATAAATGTAATGAGATACCTTGGGAATAATACCAAGCCTAAACACAAAATTCATTTATGTTTCATGTATATCTTATACACATACCTTGAAGGTAATTTTATACAATATTTTAAAATAATTTGTGCATGAAACAAAGTTTGTATAAAGTACTTATATGTGGAAGTTTTCACATGTGGCATTACGTCGGCATTCAAAAAGTTTAGGATTTTGAATCTTCAAATTAGGGATTCTTACCTGTATTGCATAACTGATAAAGCTGATTTCTATTTTATGCTTCAGTTAATTCCATTATAACCTTCAAAAATTCTTCAAGTTTATCAACAAAGCAAGAAAAAAACTAACCTTCAAGGATGAACTGGACCTTTTACAACTCTTCTTTAATTCTTTTATGCAAAGAAAAACAATTCAAGGATAAAGATAATATGTAAGCAATCACTTAAAGAAAGCTCTAAGTTGTTAGTAGATATGCTTCAGAAGAGTTTGAAAATCTCAAAGATTTGATGTTAAATCACATTTGAAATCTCAAATGGTCAAGCAGGAAGACTTTGGCCGTGTTGCTAGAGGTTGGTCAATTGTATCAATTTGTTTCAAAGAACCACTAACATTTCATTTATTTTCTCGATTACTTCTCCTTTGAATTTTTTTTATTTCTTCTATTCATTGTTTCTTTACTTCTGTGTGCTTTGGGCTTATTTTCCTCATCTTTTTTCAGTTTCTTGAAATGGAAGCTTGAACTGGTAAAATGGTGGGTGATTGACTTAAGAGTATTCCTCTTTTCCAATGTATACATTAGGATGTAGTCCTGTAAAATTTCCTCTTTGAACTATTTTAGCTAATATTCACAAATTTTGACACTTTGTATATTCATTTTCAACTCAGGTCAATGTATTTCTAATTTCCCTTGAGACTTCCATTTTGATCCATAGATTATTTAGAAGTGTATTGTTTAGGTCCCAAGGGTTGGAAGATTTTCCTGTTATCTTTCCTTTATTAATTTTTAATTTGATTTCATTGTAGTTAGAAAACCCACTCTGTAAGATTTCACTTTTAAATTGGTTGAGGTTTGTTTTATGGCTCCGGGTGTGTTTTATTTTGTCTAGAAGGTTGGACAATGCCGTTCTTGAACTCATCCTACAAAAGTGCTACATACCTCACTCCTGAATACACTATGGTCACCTTCAAGGTACTCCCCTTAGGAAGCTATATACTGACACCAGCACATAATCCACCCTTCAAAGCAATTTTAGAGCTCTTTTTTCTGGGATGGCCATCAGAGTTGTCATTGTATAGGGTCAGACAATTAAGTTTGTGAACTTGTCCTATTAATATCACTGCAGTCACCAGATGGCCAAGGGTAGTACTTCAAGGTATGTAGCACTTTTTCTAGGATAAGTTTGCAAATGCAATGGTCTGACCTTCATAAGTTCTATGAACATTTGAGAAGAATGAATATTCAGATGGTGTTGGGTGTTCTATAAATATTTATTAGATACTATTGTTTGATGATGTTGAGGTTTTTTTAATGTCCTTGCTTGATTTTCTAATTGTTTTATCAGTTGTTGAGAGAAGGCAATTGAAATCTCTAACTATAATTGTGGGTTTGTCTATTTTGCCTTTCAGTTCTATTGCTTTCTGCTTCCTTTCTACATGTGAATTTTACAGCTGTTGTTTTTTTATACACATTTATGATAGCTATGTTTTCTTTTTTTGTCAGTATATAATGTCCCACTCTGTCTCAAGTAATTTTATTTGCTCTGATGTCTACTTTATCTGACATTAATATGATCACTCTTGCTTTACTTTTATTAATGTTTGTATAATATTGTTCTTTATTGTTACTTTCAATCTGCCTATTTCATTATATTTGAAATGAAGTTTGTTGTAGACAGCATGTAGTTGGGTCATGATTCTTAAACATTTGTCTCAATATGTTTGTTATAATTGGTGTGCTAAGACCATTTAGATTTAACTAATTATTGATTTATAGAGCTTAACTTTTCCCTTTA